TGGAGCTGTGGCTGCGAGGCGGCCAGCACGGCGGCAGCCTCGGCGGCACGCCGCTCTCGGAGTGAGCAGCCTGGCGGCCAGCAGCAGCGGCGGCGGCGGTATGCGCGGGAGCTGGCCAGCCGTCGCGGCGGCCAGGCCGCGTGTGCTTTGTCTCAGGATCAAAGCGAAGACGTTGGGCTGCGACGCACGTCGTTGCAGGCGGCTCTCGGGCCCAGATGCTCACGGTTCGGGCGCAATTCTACACTTGACCGCGCACTGTTATCGATGATATTGCTGCGCCCCTTGCCTTGAGTCGGGCATGTCCCTCGACTCTACATAAGGAAATTCCAAAAATTGCCAATGATAGGATGGTGACGATATGTCGATTATGTTTGACTATTTTGGCACATCTTTAACTCTAATGTTGCTTGCCCCCCTGCCTGTTTTTGCAAGCCTGGCGAGCCACCCTCTGGCGCGACCGTGCTGGAGATTCTGCCGCCGTGGGAGGCTCGCTGCCGCCTGCGGGTGGGCTCCCGCGGAACACGACAGACGATTTGGGGCGCTTCTGGGCTCCCTGGGGCCATCACATGGCCCCAGCATCGTGGGGGTTCTGGTCGGTCTGAATGTTGGCAATCGCTCGCAAGCAGGCCACCTCACAAGAAATTCTGCTATGGATAACTCCATCGGAGGCTCCTAAGGCGTTACAGGCCTCAGAGTGCAGTGAGCTGCTCGACCCTATACGGGACACCGGCCCCGGGAAGGGAGTCCAGGTTTGCGAGGAGCCACGCTGCGAAAAAGGCACGACGTCGGAGGCCTGCGCCTGACTGCAGCGGCCGAGGTCGCCCCATGACGGAGGCCACGGTATACGAGGGGAGCGGGGTCCACGATTGCGCGGCTCCCGAGCGGAGCCCCCAGGGTGCTGGTATCCTCATCAGCCTCATCACCATCATCTTGGCATCGCTCGGACGTGTGCATTCTTTCTCGGCGAGAACCATCGAGGACCATCCTGGACCATCGAGCAAAAAAACACGCACGAAACCGAAAAATGCACGGGAAATGGACGTCCGAGCGACGGCAAGTCATCATTACCATCCTCATCGGAGTCAGCATCATCGTGAGCCGCGGCGCAGCGGATGCGTTCGGCAACGCGCGCCGGACGCCGCCGCGCGGTCTGGCGCGGCCAGTCATCCACCTACTTCCTTCGCCGTCCCCCTCCACCTTCACCGCCTCCTCCGCATCATCAGCACGATCATGTCATCATCAGCAGCATCATGATGTTCATCCTCCTCATCGTCAGCAGCAGCATCATCACCACAATCAGCATCATCATCAGCAGCATCATCATCAGCATAATCATCAGCATCCTCATCATCAGCAGCAGCATCATTATCATCACCATCGTCCCTTCTCTTCCTCCTCCTCCTTCTCCTCCTCGTCGTCGTCGTCCGCCTCTTCGCCCTCCTCGTCCTTCCCCTTCTCCTTCCCTGCGTCCTCCAGAGGCGCGCGGCAGCTGATCAGCCAGGGACCCTGGCAGAGGGCCAGAGTGGGCGCGGGCGGGCAGTTGCGCCCGGCGGCCTGCCCCGGGGGTACCCCGCGGCGCGCCGTGCCGCCGGCAGCCGCCCGAAAGGGGCGCCGCGGATGCTGCTTCTCCGGCGGCCAGCGAGGGTCGGACGGGGCTACGTCCTGGTTTCGTTTCAGGGTGGTGCCCCCATAACGCTACCCTTGCCGCGTTCTGCCCTGTGTGGGCCCTCCGTGGGAGGCCCTCGCCGCCACAGCACGATTCGAGTCGAGGCTCTCTGGTCAGGGCGCACCCAGAGAGAGGTCCAGGGAGCGGCGGGATCGGTGCCTTTTGGTTTCCCTTGTCGGCGGCGTGCCCCAGGGGGAAGCGAGAACTTGCGGACCTTCTCGGAAGGCTCGGAAGCCCCCTGGTTTTCGGAGGAGTTCTCTAAGCCTTCCCCGAAGACACAGAAGATTTACCAGGAGCCGCGAGGGCTTCTGAGAAGTCTCGCCGCCTTCGGAGAACGCGGAGAACGCGGCGGAGGAGGAGGAGGAGGAGGAGGAGGAGGAGGAGGAGGAGGAGGAGGAGGAGGAGGAGGAGGAGGAGGAGGAGGAGGAGGAGGAGGAGGAGGAGGAGGAGGAGGAGGAGGGGAGGGAGGGGGGAGAGAGGGGAGGGGGGGGAGGCAGGGGGAGGAGGAGGAGGAGGAGGAGGAGGAGGAGGAGAACCAGTGTAAACCCAAGAGTCATCAGTACCCTCCCTCCAAGCTCCCTCTTCATAGGCCCCTACAACGGGTCATGCCCATTGAGAGAACTGCCTCCTTGGAAGACAACCGTTTGAAGACCAGCATCGGGATGTCCACGCCACGGATCAACCTTACTGCTGCGTCCTGACGATCCGGAACCGTGACAGAGCGCCATTTCTGGGATTCGAACACCGCGAATCAACATAATTGTTGCACCCGCATAATCCTGAATCCTTCCTACATACAACTTCTGGTACGCCGATCATGGGAATATGTGAAACTCTTGCACATGTTTACACCGAATGCGCGCGGCGCTCAGGCGAGAGCCACATTTTGAAAATGAACCGCCCTCAATCCTTGAAACACCTGCACATGTTGAAACCGAATGTGCGCGACGCTGAGGCGAGAGCCACATTTTGAAAAGGAACCGCCTTCAATCCGCAAAAAACTTGCACATGTTAAAACAGAATGTGCGCGGCGCGAGGCGAGAGCCACATTTTGAAACCCACCCGCCCTCAATCCGTGAATCTCTTTTCAATTTGTTAAAGCGAATGTGCGCGGCGCTAAGGCGAGAACCACATTTTGAAAATGGCCCGCCATCAATCCGTGAAACTCCTGCAATTTGTTTAAACGACTGTGCGTGGTGCTACGGCGAGAACCACAGTTTGGAACCACCCGCTTCAAGTTCGTGAAACTCTTCCACATGTTTAAAACGAATGAGCGCGTCGCTAAAGCGAGAACCACGTTTTCAACAGGAACCGCCCTCAATCCGTGAAACGCGTGTATTTGTTCAACGAATGTGCGCGGCGCTGAGGCGAGAGCCACATGTTTAAAAGGAACCGCCTTCAATCCTTGACACTCTTGCGATTTTTTTTCGTGCGCAGCGCTGAGGCGAGAGCCACATTTTGAAAACCACCCGCCCTCAATCCGTAAAACTCTCGCCAATGTTTAAAACGATTGCGCGCGGCGCTAAGGCGAGAACCACATTTTGAAAACGACCCGCCCTCAATCCGTTAAACTCTTGCAATTTGTTTAACGAATGTGCGCGGCGCTTACGGCGAGAACCACATTTGGGAACCACCCACCCTCAATCCATGAAGCTCTTGCAATGTCTTAAAGCGAATGTGCGCGGCGCTAAAGCGAGAGCCACATTTTAAAAACCACCCGCCCAGAATTCGCGAAATTTCTGCAATTGCTTAAGCTCCAGAGTCGTAAATGGTGAGGAAGTCTCAGGCGAAACGCCCGGCCCGCGTTAAAAATTTGCCTCGGGATGCGACAGGGAGGATTTATCTCTAAGGAGAAGGAATGGAGGAGGAGGAGGAGGAGGAGGAGGAGGAGGAGAAGGAGGAGTAGGAGGGAAGGCCTTCTCTTTCTCGTTTCCCCCCCCCCTCTCGCTCGCCGCCGGGTTCTCGGAGGAGGGGCCAGCCGAGACGGCGGCGGCGCTCCCCTCGAGGAACTAGCGGCATGCACATACAGTCGGGGCGTTGAAAAAGGAACGTTGGGAAGGGGCTCCGCGTGCCTTCATTGTTTCGCAGTTTGCCTCAGGTTGACCTCAGGATTTCGATGGGAAATCGACTTATGGGAAAAACTGGCCTCGTTCCACGCCCCGACGGTAAACGTTCGGAGGGCCGAGCGCATTTTCTTGGATCGGCGCGGGGCCCCTTGGCGGCGCATCGGGCGCTAGGAGGTGGGCCTTCCAAAGTTTGTGCATGTGTGTGGGTTGCCGTCTGCTGTTCGTCCCTTCTGGGGCCCTTGTGGCTTCTGGTCGTCACGGCTGGCTCCGCCTCGAGAGGCGGTGGGGACGGACCCCGGGAGGGGTGCAGAAGACCGATGGAGCGGGTCTGAGCCACGCGGGAGGGCCGCCTTTGTCTCAATCGGCCTGCCCCCCGAGCCCCCTGCATCCAATTAGTTTGCGTTGGTGTCTCTGCCAGTGGGAGGTTGCCATCTCCAGAGCTGCTGCCCCAGCACAGAAGAAAAGGTCCGCCCCTTCATCGCGTTGCAAAGATGACTTTCTGGATTGCGACGTTTCGTCAACTCAGTTACGCTGGACACTTCCGTGCCGCATTTGCAGCGGGATGATCCTGACCTGACTTGCAATCCCCCCCCCTCCTCGAATCATGATCCACGCCCGCCCAGTAGATTTGGTGTTTAAGTCTAGCTATAAAGGTCGCTGCAGGACGCAGTTCAGAGATCACATCGGCCGACCTTCGCTCGCGGTCGGGGTGGAGGCCCTCCCTGCAGCGCTTCCACTTGTCGCGGGCCTGGGGAGGGGGCCAAGCCCTTGCGCCCTTTGGGCAACAAGGTACTGCGAAGTCACTGAGAGTACAGTCGGGGCGCTGAGGAAGGAACCCTTTTCGTTGGGGAGGGGCTCGGTGTTCCTTAGTTTTTTGTTGCAGTTCGCCTCTGGTTTTGCTGAGGGCTTCGATGGGAAATCGAAGTTTAACTTGTGGGAAAAAAGGGGCCTCGTTCCTTATTTAGGGTTCCTTGGGTCAACGCCCCGACTGTAGCATCCGCGCCTGTTGCATATATGAAGCATCCCAGGAAGGGTCTTGCCCTGGAGGATGGAAGGAGTTGTCACCTCTTCCACGGCGGAAGGCCGGCGGAAGTAAAACCAGGCCGCCTCCGCCGGCGGAAGCCAGCGGAGCCGCCGCGGCGGGGCTGAGGCCAGTCGGGCTTGCCGCTCCGCGCCCGCTGTCCGTTTCCAGGGCCTTGTTTCCGATTTGGAAACGCGCCGCGTCGTTTTCACGATTGTGCTGGAGCCCCCGCTAAATTTCCGAGGCAATGGGAGTCGCATCGAAAAAAAAGGAGGGGCGGCGGAAGGCGGCGGAGGTGAAAAATGCGCCCCCAAGAGATGAAAACGTGGTTGGGTTCGGGGATTCCAGAATTGGCCATATATGGGTAACCCTTCCGGGGAAATCCGTAAGACGCAGATTATGGCTCTGGGATCTTGCAAGACCTCCGGGAGCCTACGGCTGAAGCCCAAGCAAGGACCCAGTGGAACTACAGGAACCTATTTCTTGGACCGCACGCATTTGCGGTGCATTCAGGATTTCCTGATGAACGTCCAATCGTGGTCAGCTTCACGCACGGGTGGACGATTGGTGGGAGGGGGAAGGGGAGGAGTGCATCAGATGTTGCACGCGCGCTCGCACTGCTGACATGCCCTGCTGACCGCCCTGCCATTCACCCAGACTGGACATGGGTAAGGACAGCAGAAAGCAAGTCACTGACAGGCTCTACCACGAACGCGCTCCTCTTCATGTTGGAAGGGTCCCCGCCAGGAGCTCTCGTGAAACTCTTCTCCCCCCTGGTGGCGAGTGCTGGCCACGTGCTCAGAGCACGTGAGAGATACCCACAAGTCAAAATGCTCTTAAAGCTTTGCCCTGTCTTGTCCCCGCACTCCTCCTTTTCCTTTCTCTCGCCTGCAGAAAAGGGGTTCCGAGGGAAGCGGGTCCTAGACCCTCGGGCTTTCCTGAAGGGCCAGCGTTTCATGTTGGGCCTTTCTTTGACAGCCCCAGAGCCCGTTGTGGGTCCCAGGGGCCCGAAAACAGTGATAGAACTCCAGGCGCCCATTCCTCCAAGACACACTTCCTTCCTTCCGGAAATAGCGTGGCACACATAAACGTCGGATATCCGGGCGGAAATATTGGATCGGCATGGAACTTCCCTGGTGGCGTCTCCGTCGCCGCCCCATGCGCGCCGCGCGCGCCCCAGGGAAGAGGGAGTAGCGCCGATCCAAGACATCAGCGCGGACCTTTGCCAGAGCAGTCAACAATCCAGACAATACGTTATGCATTGCCTAGTGTATGTTCCACTGGGCCCGTGCACAGCCTGCCTCTAGGCCTACCCTAGGCCTGTGGGCCAATAGTCGTCCCGTAGGTAGACTATGCATCGACCTGCTGGTCCATGCGCCGTAGAGTCGATTTGAGCTTACGCATGGAGCTACCGTAGGCCGATGCATAGCCGACCGATCGGCGCATTACAAGGCTACGCATAACCTACCCGATAGGCCTATCATCGGCCTACCAGTGTATTTTTTGTTATGGCGTTTGCTGGCTCAATTCCGCGGGGCCTACTATAGCCTATGCGTGAGCCCACTAAAGGCTTATGCACAGCCTATACATGAGCCTACAGGGAGCCTGTGCACGGGCCTACGCATAGGCCACGCGCAGGCCTACTGCAGGCGCATGCCCATCCTATGCACAGGCCTGTCGTAGGCTTACGTGTACCCCATATACAGATCCGCCGCAGGCTTTGGGTAGCTTACGCGCAGGTCTACTGCACATCAACTCCAGGTAGCCGGGGGCCTGTTATCAACTTCGGCATAGCCTACGCAAAGGCCTCCTACAGGCCTGCGCGAAGGCTACGCATCGGCCTTTTCTAGACCTACGCATAGCCTGCGCATCAGCCTACGCAAAGGCTATACATAGGCAGAAGGTGAGCTTCAAGTGGGCCTGTAGAGGGCCGACACCCCGCGATAGGAACACGCATAGCCTGCGCAGAGGCCTACCATATGCTTACGCGTACCATCGGTCCATGCACAAGCTATGCCCGGGCGTATGGTGGGCATATGTTGGGTCTCTGGTGGGCCTACTGGGGGCCGACGCCTTGCGATAGCCCTTTACATTGACTACGCATGGGATTATCATAGGCCTACGCATCCGCTGTGAATTAGCTCATGGTGGGTCTCTGGTGGGCCCACAGGCCTATGCACAGCCGACTCATATGCCTGTTGCAGGCCTCTGCACAGCCCGTGCATAGGCCTGTGGTAGGGCTTGCACAGGCTATGCCTGGATTTCTGGTGGGTTCCAAATGTCGAATCGTGACTTGGGGTCTCAAGAGCAGAATCGAGACTTGGGATTCCACGACAACATCGAGATCTGGGGCTCCAAGTGCAGAATAGAGACCTGAGGACACAAGATAAGAATCGTGACCTGGGGCGCGAAGCCAAGAATCGTGACTTGGGTTCCCAAGTGAAGAATCAAGACGCGGGGCCTCAAGTGAAGAATCGACAGCTTCGGGCCTCAAGTGAAGAATCGAGACTTGGGGATCTCAGCGAGGAGTGCAGACTTGGTGCCTCAGCTGAAGAATCGAGACGTGGGGCCCCCAGTGAAACATCGAGGCTTGGGGCCCCAAGTGAAGAATCGATGCTTGGGACCCCACGTGAAGAATCGAGACGTGGGGCCTCAAAGGAAGAATCGAGATTTGGGGCCCCAAGGCCCCAGGCGAAGAATCGAGCCTCGGGGCCATGAGTGCAGAGCAGGCACTTCGGGCCCCGAGCGAGGAGAGCTGGGCCCCCCGGCCGGGTTGGGGCCCCGCGTGAAGAATCTAACTCGGGGCCCCGGGCAGACCGTCGAGACTTGGAGCCCCCAGCGAAGAACCGAGACGTGCGGCCCAAAACCACGAGACCGCGACACCTTCCAGGAGTCTGCGGGCATCCTGACAAGCGTTGGACCAAAGCACGCACCAGCGCAAGAAAGGGCTCCCCGCAGCAGAGTTCCTCGACGCGTCTTCCCATATCAAAGCTGCCAAAGCGTGGGGACCAGAGATGATGCGACCGACGCTAGGTCTCTTGTGGGAGGTTTCTTGTGTTCGAGCTCCTGCTGTGCTATTCGGGGGGGCGCGCCTTCGGACGGAAGCGCGCCAGGGAGGGGCGATGACGGGAGGCCTTCCCTCTTCGCTCCGTCGCCCTCTCTGTCTCCTTTGCCGTGCCTCCTTCCCTCTCGCCTCCTTCACGTGCCCTCCCCCCCCCCCCCCTTGGTTCTCCAGCTCCTCCTCCTCCTCCTCCACCAAGTTCTTCTCGATCGATTTCACGATCGGTCTCACGATCGATCTCACTATCGATTTCACTCGATCGACCTCACTATCGGCATCACGATCTATCCCACTATCGATCTCACAGTCGATCTCGCTATCTCTTTTTATTTCTATCGATCCCACCATCGACCTCACAATCGATCTCAGTATCGATTTCACTATCGAAGTTAAGACCGATCTCAATATCGATCGCACTATCGATCTCACGTTCGATCTCACTATCGAGCTCATATCGAGCTCAATATCGGTCTCACTGCCGATCTCACTATCGATCTCACTACGGGACACCGACGGGACACCAGCGGGACACCCTTGGGACACCCCAGGCCACCGCCAAAAACCCCGAGGGGGCGGTCTTTTGGCCCGGCGGCGCCCTAGCCAGAGGAGGGTTCATTCATCTCGCCCGCCCACGCAGCTTCGCCTCGCCCGCACGCACGAGACGAACACAACCGAAACCGATTTCCCGGTGGGGGTTCTCCGTTTCACTGCGATCTCACCACCTCACCGCCGATACACGTATACATCTTACTCGGTTGAAGGAGAGAAGGAGAGAGAGAGAGAGAGAGAGACAGAGAGAGAGAGATCCTTCATTGATTTCCTTCTTTGCCTGAGATCTATACAACTGGCCGGTTTGGCCACTTAAGATGTCTACACAGCTTCATCGTCCACCCGCCCACGCTGCTCTTCTGACCGCAAGTTCGGTTTTGTCCGTGTGTTCTGGCTATTCGGTCTGCGCTGGAAGGCCTCGGTGTGAGTAAACCTTGGAATGCCCAGGCAGCTCTAGCAAAGAACCCTGATGGCGGCAGAGGAGCTGTGGGACCCGTGTGGGTTGTGGGCATTTGGAACCTGCGGGACCTGTGGGACATGTGGGATTTGTGGGGCCTGCGGGACCTGTGTGGCAAGTTTGAGCTGTGGGACGTGAGCGACCTGTGGGACCTGTGGGGCCCGTGTGGCCTGTGCGACGCGTGCGACCCCTTGGACCTGTGGGACCGGTGGGGCCCGTGAGACTTGTGGGACTGGTGGGACCTTAGCAACTTGTGAAAATTGTGGGACTTGTCAGACCCGTGGGACCTGAGCAGCCTGTCAGACCCGTGGGACTTCAGCAGCCTGTGCGACTTGCGGGACCTGAGGGGCCCCTGGGACTTGTGGGACCGGGCACTTGTGGGGCCTGTGGGGCCTCGCTGTTCCTGTCGCATCCCGAGGCCTGTTTTTAGGGCGGGCCGGGCGTTTCGCTTGAGACTTCCTCACCATCTATGACTCTGAAGCTTAAACATTGACAACAGTTTTACAAATGGAGGGCGGGTCGTTTCCAAATTGTGGCTCTCGCCTTAGCGCGGCGCACATTCGTTTTAGAAAAATACAAGAGCTTCACGGATCGAGGGTGGTTCCTCCTTTTCAAGTTGTGGTGCTGGATTTTGCGCGGCGTACATTCGTTGACCAGATGTATAAGAACTTCACGGATTGAGGGCGGGTCGTTTTCAAAATATGGTTCTCGCCTTATCCTTAGCGCGGCGCACATTTGTTTTCAAAAATTGCCAGAGTTTCACGGATCGAAAGCGGTTCCTTTTCAAAATGTGGTTCTCGCTGTAGCGCCGCGCACATTCGTTTTTGCAGAATGTGCAAGAGCTTCACGGATGGAGGGCGGGTTCTTTCCAAAATGTGGTTCTCGCCTTAGCGCGGCGCACATTCGCAAGAGCTTCACGGATCGATGGTGGCTCCTTTTCAAAATGTGGTTCTCGCTTTAGCACCGCCCGCATTCGTTTATAATGTTTGCAAGGGTTTCACGGATTCCCATCATCAACGTACCAGAAACGGTGTTCTGCAAGGATTCAGGATTTCGCGGGCGCAACAGTTACCTTGATTCGTTGTGTTGAAGTCCCAGGAATGGCGTTCTAGCACGCTTCAGGATCGTCGACACGCAATAGTCAGGTTGATCCGTGGCGTTGGAATCCCGAGAACAATGTATTGGCATGCTTCAGGGTCTTCGAACGGCTGTCTTCCAACAAGACAGTTCCATCAATAGAAATGAACCGTGGTAGGGGCTTGCGAAGAGGGAGCTTGGAGGGTGCGTTTATTCCAACATCGTTGATGGTTCTTGGGTTTACACTGGTCCTCCTCCTCCTCCTCCTCCTCCTCCTCCTCCTCCTCCTCCTCCTCTCCGCCCCCCCTGCCAATGGGGCGGGGCGGGCCGACGGGCCATGGACGTGGAGGTGGTCTTCTCATTCGCCGGCACGGCGGCGAAGCAGGCCGCGGAGGCGGAGGAGGAGGAAGAATTGAGAGAAAATGTTTTCGGGGCGCCTTAACCCCATTAGCGGGCCCAGCTTCCTGGAGCCACCACCCTGTAGGGTACGGTGGGCCGATGTGGCACATGGCTTGGGACCATCTGGGTCCAGACCGCACTGGCTGGGCCAACGAATCAAGAGAGCCTGGGCACCGTGGCCCAGGTACTGCGGCTCCAGCGCGGGAGTGCATCTTGGCACCTTCTAAGTCCGCGTGAAAGCCTTGGCACCATACACGTGTTGTCACTACTTGGAGCTGTCAGTGTATGGATTGCCTTGCTGGTGTGGATGTTGATACTTTTCTGAAACTTTGCAGCCCATGGCGGCCTCTCGCTGCAGGTGCTGGCACCGTTCAGCATGTCCCTACGGTGCGCAGGGGGCGGGGCGCAAAGAGATCGAAGTGGGAAGGTTGGGCAAGGACGTGTCTGAAAGGGGACCAGGCGAGAAGAGGGGTGCAGACGAGAAGGAGGGAGAGGGAATGCACAGAGCAAGCAAAGGGGGGAGGGAACCAGGAAGGTCTGGGTCCCCGACTTCTCGGGAGATCACGCCGCCGGGGGGCCCACAGCGCGGATCCAGGAAGCCCGCGCGGAGCGCCAACAGTTCATGGCTCTGCCGTTTTTTTTTTTTCTTCTGGGGAGAGCGCGCCGGCTCCCGACCAGAGAGCACGGCCGCCCCGACCCGCGGCCCGCCTGGAGGAGGAGGAGGAGGAGGAGGAGGAGAAGGAGGGGGAGGAGGGGAGGAGGAGGAGGAGGAGGGGGAGGGGGAGGGGGAGGGGGAGGAGGAGGAGGAGGAGGAGGAGGAGGAGGAGGAGGAGGAGGAGGAGGAGGAGGAGGGAGGAGGAGGAGGAGGGAGGAGGAGGAGGAGGAGGAGGAGGGAGGAGGAGGAGGAGGGGGAGGAGGGGAGGAGGAGGAGGAGGAGGAGGAGGGGAGGAGGAGGAGCAGGAGGAGCAGGAGGAACAGGATGAGGAAGACCACAGGAAGCCTTGGATGCGTCGTTGATGCCGCAGTACACTCTCCAGCCCCAAGCCCCCTTCCGCAGAAGTCCGTGGAGAGCTGTCCTTTGAAAAATGAGCAACGCATGGGCTGGCCGTTCAGGCGGGAGCCCCAGCTTGACAAGGAATGGTTGTGCATCCTCCTAGCGAGTGGTCATCCTTGACCGTGCAACTTTTACACATGTTCAAGCTCCTGGCCCTTGTAACCGAGGAAGTTCCAAGCGGAGGCCACAGTTTGGAAACGCACCGCCCTCCATCTTTGAACACGTTGCATTGTTTAAGACGGGTGCGCGCGGCGCTGAGGCGAGATGTCCAATTTTGACAACGCACCGCCCTCCCTCAATGAATTGTTTGAAACGCATGCGCGCGGCGCTAAGCCGAGAGCCAATGTTCAAAACGTACCGCCCTCCACCCTCGCAATTGCTGCGAGCGTTTGACTGCGAATGCTCGAAGCGCTAAGGCGTGACGAAATCCCCAGCCCGCCCTACCGATACATCTGGTGATGCGGCAGGGAGGAGTTATCTATACGGACGAAGGACAAAAGAGGAGGTAAGGAGAAAGACGAGGAGGAAGGAGGGAGGAGGGGCTGGAAGAGGAACAGTAGAAGAAGGGAAAAGGAGGAGGACGACAACGAGAGGGAAGAGGAGGATAAGGAGGATGGGGGAGAGGAGGGGGGAGGAACAGGGAAGAGGAGGACGAAGAGGAAGACGAGGAACACCAGGATGAAACATCACGAGAGGGAGGAAGAGCAGAAAGGGGCAGAGGAAATAGAGGAGTAGAAGGAAAACAACGACGACGACGACGACGACGACGACGACGACGACGACGACAACGGCGGCGACGGCGACGGCGATGGCGACGGCGACGGCGACGGCGATGACGATGTTATTGTGAACGTGTTTGGCGATTGCCTAGCCTTCGGGGACCTCCAGGGAGCTCTGGAGAGCTCTGGAGACTTCCAGGTAGAGGTTTGCACCGCTTTTTGGCGGCGCCCGGTGGTTCTCGGAGGCCTTCGGCCGCTGTCGACGTGTGTCACATGCTTTCTGGTACTGTCACATGTGGTCGGCGTGTACATGTGGTTCTCTGCGGTTCTCCAGGATACAGAGATGTTCAGATGATTCTTTCATGTCAACACACTTTCGCTTGTGATAGGCTGGCCTCTGTGGTTTCCACTGTTTTCGACCTTGTGGGTTTCACCCCTCTTGTTCTAGTTCCTCATTTGCTCAAAGAGGGTAGTCCAGTCACGCAGGATAGTCCACCCCCGTTGTCGTCCTCCAGTTCTTCCTCCCTCGTCTCCTTCCCTCCTCGGCGGAACTTGACTACTTGGGTGTCGCTGCTGCTGTGAATCGTGCAATCGGTTCGCGGGGCAGCACATTTGAGCAACCACGCTGTCGATTCCGCTTGCGCACTTGGCAGCACAGCGCCCACGGAGGCGCGGCACCTCTTTCGGCGAGGGTACGGCCGCAATCCGCGCCACGGGCCGCACGGGCGACCTGCTCGTCCTCGTCCTGATCTGCACCCGAGAGATTGGGTTGGAGCCGGCACGTTTCTGCGTGACAGCAGGCGGGGCCCGCAGCCGTTTCGGCTCCAGGAGGTGGGCACGGGCACGCGCGGCTGCCTCCTCGCCCTCTCGAGTACGGGATCGACCACAGAATTGCTTTGCCCCATGCTCGATTCTTCGCCGCGCCTGCCACAGGTTCGTGGAAGGCCCCGCAGATGTACCGAGCATTCGGCGCAGGTGTCCTACGTCTCTCTCTGCCAGAAAAAGGCAGCTCTGGGGCGAGGCAATCCTGCGGCCGATCCCCTGCTCGGCTCCTCCGCGGGCACCTCGGCGGCGTGCTCGGGGGCGCCGCCTGCCCCGCCGCTGGGCGGGACGGGCCGCACCCGGGCAGCGCGCGCGAGCCGGCGGCGCGCGGCACGGCCACGCGCCGCGGCGGCATGGACGGGTGGCCCCCGGCGGGGCCGCCCCGCCGCGCGCCGGCCCGGAGGGCCCCCGGCATCCGAGGGCGCCGGGGCCGCAGGCCTGCACCGAGCCGGGCCTTGGCCGATCCTGGGCCCAAGGCCGGTGCCCTCCTCCTCCTCCTCCTCCTCCTCCTCCTCCTCCTTCCTCCTCTCCTCCTCCTCCGCCTCCTCCTCCTCCTCCTCCTCTCCTCCTCCTCCTCCTCCTCCTCCTCCTCCTCCTCCTCCTCCTCCTCCTCCTCCTCCTTCTCCTCCTCCTCCGCCTCCTCGCCGTGGCGAGAGTGTCTGTCAGTCTGCCTTGGCCAATGGTAGCGCAGCAGCGCGGAGGCGTTCGCAGCATATAGAGGTCACACTCCAGCTGCTCCGCCCGTGGGCGCATCCCGCTTGATGAGTCACAGGGTCTGGCGCGGAGGAGTTCCCGATCCTGTTTTGGGAGTAGCAGAGTTCTCAGCATCAGGCGGATCGGAAACTACTCCGCCGAATGACGCAGTCACCATGTCGTGTTAGGAATATTGAGAGGGATAGGAGATATCATCATCATCCTGGCAAGTTGAAGGAACCTTTGTCACGGTTGTACGTGCGCCTTCTTGGTCCAGCCAGGAGGGCCCTGAGATCCAACGTTGCGAAAAATGCAACATCGCAGAAGTTCACGACCAGAGCTCTGGAACCCATCCTTCTGCGTCATTTTTCGAGCCGGATCGATCTGCGAGGGTCCTGTGGCCAGAAACGGGGCGAAGACGCCCGTCGTGAAAAAGCTGCAGCGCCAGGAGCTCGGGGGGCGCACACTCACACCGACCCCTGGGCCCAGCCTCGGCCTGGCCAGGGCAGGTGCAGGCGTACAGCCCGCGCCCTCCCACAGCAGGGCCGCCCGGATGCCCCCTGCCCCGCCTGCGCCGCGTGCGTCGGCCGTCGCACGCGCGCAGGGCGCCGGAGGCCGGGCTGCGTGCGCGCAGGGCCGGCGCCCGCTGCGCCAGGCGGACGTGCAGCGGCTGGGGCTGGCCATCGCCTCCGGGGTGCTCGCGCTGCTGCCGTCGGCCCGGGTCGCCGCGGCCCGGAGGTGCCTCGCTGCCCGGCTCGCCCGCTCCTGGGGGTCGACCGCGTCGTTGCGCCCCTGGCACGGCCAGGGCAGGCCCTGCAGCTGCCAGAGGCAGCAGCGGCTGCCAGGCTCCGAGGCGTCCGTGCTCGAGGGGGGAGTGCTCGCCGCGCCCGACCCGCAGGAGGCCTGCGCACGGGACGAGGCTCCTCAGGGGGCCAGGTACGCCGAATTTGCCGAGGTCTTGGAGGAAGTCGGCGCTCAGGTGGGCGAGGGCTCACGTCAGCGCGCGAAGTTGGCGCTCACAGAGTATTCGACCGCCTCTCGCACTCCGCCAGTCCATATTATATCATCCTTGTCATGTGTGTTGTGCACGTGGGCGTTAGGATGTTTTTGGGTGGTAATTTCCCACAGCAGTCTCAGCACCAAATGGAGCACGTTCCCACCCAAGCTTCACCGTCGAATCCCGAAACCACGAGTAAGCAACTTTGTAAAGCCCCTCCGTGAGCTGTCGGAGCATCCTGGGGGACTCGTGGGGCTCTGAAGGGTTGCTTGGGGCCACTCCGCTTGGGGCCGCCTTGGACCAGGCTGGCTTCGGGCCCTCTTGGGACCTTGCTGGGGCCTACCACCCACTGGTCCCCATTCTTGGGCCGCTTTGGAGCCCTCTTGGGACCCTCCTGGAACCCTCTTGGGCCCTCTTGTGGGACATCGGCGCCCTCTCAGGACTCCTCTAGGCGCCCCTTGCAGCCCGCATGGGCGAGAACGCCATGATCATCGAAAGCCTCACGTTTGTTCAACGATTCTGGCGTACAGTCGACCCGCATAGTAAGGATGGGCAACCTTCCCAAGGGTTCCCTTGTATCCTTGCCCCCTCGGCCCATCCTTGGCCACTTTCGCTGGCCGCGCCCCGCTCGAAAAGCTTCGAAATGGGCGTCCAAGGCCCCTTGTATCCTTATCGCGCATCCCCATGTTACGAGCTGACTGCATGCTGAGCCCCCGAGGAAATGTGATTCGGCCATCTTGAACCACGTTTGAACCACATTTGAAGTCGATCGGGCTCTCCTGGACCAGCTTGGGCAGGACCACCTCCGGCCTCTCTCGAGGCTCTCCTGGGGCCGCCTCACGAAGTCCGAGGAAGCCGCGCCGGAGCGCGCAGAGGCGAGAAGGCCCAACCGGCAGACGAAACAGCATCGTGCTCGATTGTTCAGTGATCGTGTTCTTGTTCGTTGCCGATCGGCGCGGGCCCTCCCTCCCCCCCCCGCATAGAGCAGAGCTTGGCTGTTCTTGGCGCCTGTTCTGTTTTCCTCCCTCTGTCAATGAAAGCTGTGCGCGGCCCGCTCAGCTTCGACCAGAAGAGGCTCGCTCTCGACCCGCGGATCAGAAAGGTTTTGGCGCCTGTTTCGAACAGGCGGAGCCTCCCCCATGGGACGCACTGTTGCAAGCAGTCGCATGTGGCAGAGGTCCAGAGCCACATCCCCCCACACCCCTTCCCCCCCTTCTGCCATATGTCGAAACGCCGGATAAGAAAACGCTCAGTTGGGCCTTTCCTGGGGCCTCCGGGGGGCGCATATTCAGCCATATTCTGGTGCGCCGCTGCAGGTAATTGGGCTATGTTGGGTCATCTTGGGGTCACCAACGACGCACCTTCTTGGGCCGTATTGGGGTCATCTTTGGGTCATCGTGGGATCTTGCGCCGATCGGCCCGCGCTCTTGGACCCGCTTAGGATTTCTGGAAGCGCATTAATACCCTCTCGGGGCTCTTGGGGCCCTTGTCGGACTCTCGTGGGGCCCTTTGGAGGCCACCTCCGGGCCCGAGAAACCCGCTGGCGCCGCAGAGGCGAGAAAGCAAACACGCACGCACGCACGCACGCACGCACGCCCACACACACACACACACACACACACACACACACACACACACGCACACACGCACGCACGCACGCACGCACGCACGCACGCACGCACGCACGCACGCACGCACGCACGCACGCACACACACACACACACACACACACACACACACACACACACACGCACGCACGCACGCACGCACGCACACACACACACACACACACACACACACACACACACACACGCACACACACACACACACACACACACACACACACACACACACACACACACACACACACACACACACACGCGCGCGCGCACGCACACACATATACACACACAAAACACAAGCACACGTGTTTGTTCCTATAGCAGCAAGGTGGGTACACCGTCGCGAGCGCTAAGCTGGGACACGCTTGGGCGGATTACCACATGGCGTGGCAGATGGGTGGACCAGATTGGAGCAGCCGCATGCAAAGAAAGGCTGCGCAGGCAGATGCACGCAACTGAAGAAGCCGAAACGCATGTAATGCAATCCACGAGGCGGAGAAGGCGTGCACAGTTTTGAATCCGCAGCCCAGCTGCAATGGCGCAACGCGGGGCTGCTGGGGGGCGCGGTTGGAGCGCACCCTCAGCCGATGGCAGCGGAGACGGAGCTCATGGCGCCACCGAAACCGTCGTGTCCAGTGCTCCGCACCGGCCAGTTGGGAGGAGGTGCCAGTAGGAGTGCACACCACTCACGAGTCTGATTCTGCGCTAGCTGTGAACCAGCGGGGCGTTCCGCGCCGAGTCCCAACCCTGGGGGGGAAGGACTCGAGGCAGAGGAGAAAGGGGGGCGGCGCTAACCCCCTCCTCCTCCTCCGCCTCCTCCCTCTCCTCCTCCTCTCCTCCTCCTCCTCCTCCTCCTCCTCCTCCTCCCTCCTCCTCCTCCTCCTCCTGCCTCCTCCTCCCTCCTCCTGATCCTCCTCCTCTCCTCCTCCTCCTCCTCCTCCTCCTCCTCCTCCTCCTCCTCCTCCTCCTCCTCCTCCTCACTCCTCCTCCTCCTCCTCCTCCTCCTTCTCCTTCTCCTCCTCGTCCTCCTCCTCC